AGGGAGCCATCTTTGTTTAGAAAAATGTCTTTTATAAGCTCCCTGTGATACAAGGTAAGATTGTGAAGGGAAAGATGGGGTCAGGAAGAAAATTAGGACAAGCAATGGGCATCCTGCTGTCCATGAGAACATAACCCAGTTTGGTTCGTCCTGAGGCAGGAAGCCATGTGAAATGGAGGGCAGGTGGAGATTGCTCTTTGGTGCATCAAAAGAACATTCTGTGAATGGGGTGCCCAGTTTGCTGTGTTGCAGCATCTGTCATTCCTACATACATCAGTGGAGGATGGACACACACAAACACACGCCATTTGATTTTTGCTGAGTGTGCAAATGAGGAAGGGAGCTGAACTGATGCCTTGCCCAGTTACTTAAACAATGAGGTAGCAGGAGATCTGGAATCAGAAATGGCTGCAAAAAAAATCTAAGTCCCTGCAAAATCACCGCAATACAGAGGCTTGCTACTGGAGCCCAGGATTTTCAGACTCTTCTGGATTTCAAAGGGTAGGAGGGTCTTAACTGAGAAAAATCTGTGCCTAGTGTCTGTGCCCTGTGAAACCGGAAGTGGGAGGAAACTTTGGACCTTGGTACTGCACACCACTGCAGCAAGTGTGTCAAACTGGATTTTCCATTGGGTATGCCTGAGGCAGGAATTCAGGAACTTCCAATTCCAAGTTTCTGCTGAGAAATCAGCCCAGTTGGTGGTAAGGAAATCTTCAGTTCGTTATAGCCCTTGCCCTACCTCATTTCATCGAAGATTTGAGGTGGAGCTCATTGCTCTTGGCTGGTCTACAGAGGGCCACAACCCAGCTTGTGTGGAATCTCATACATGCATTTGGGGGTCCCCCTAGAAGCCATCAGCATTCTGAGTTCATCAGAAGGGAATGGCCAGAGCAAATGCAGGCTGGCAGCAAGTGCTGGACTCCATGGAGGAGCAGAGGTGCCGCTGGCAGTGTGTTAAACTGGATGGGGACTTAGAGTGCCTGGGTCTAGCCTCGTTGCTAAGTGGCCGTGGCCTCTAGAACTCAGAGTCCCCTTATACAAGAGAAGGATTGGTTGTTAAAGGGCTGTTGTTTCTCGATGACTTCTTAGTGTTGTCATGGAGTCCCTCCAACCTCTCACAGTGAGGATAACAAACAGGGTGGACTGGCAGCCCAGGGCTCAGGGTGGTGCCGCAGATTGGCACAGGAATTGCACCTGCAGAAGAAAATTCGCACATTCACAGGAAGAAGGCCCCATGCTCAGCTGTGTGTTTAGGAGTTTCTACATCTGCAGAGTTTGCCCATGGATTTGGAAGGAAGGCAGGACTCAGTTTCAGGAGAGGATTAAGTACACCACCTCTCTGAGAAGGATGGGCATTGGCTGAATATCTCGTGAAGCAAATGCCTGCGCCAGTCTTGAGTGGCAGAGGCAGAGGCAACTCCAGGTCTGAGAAGCAGACCCTCATGGCTGTGACCAGGACCCTTCCCAAAACATCAGCACAACTTCTCAGCCAACAGAAGCCTCACCTCCACATGTGAGGGAAAGCAGTATGCTGAGGGGACTTACTGGATGGAGGGACAGATGAACTAACCTGAGTTCCCACACTGGCTTCAGAGGAATCTGGCTCCTCTGCTTTGTCCATGCTGTTCAGTCGGTGACCTCCCAGGAAGGTCAGCTGTTTCCTGGACAAGCCAGGAAACCTGCCCCCCATTCGCTTCTTCCATCTTCCCCATTCCTCATGGCTTCAAGAAGGAATGCTTAGGGGGATGGTCAGTCCATGCATCTCATTATCTTTGTACAGAATAGCATTAGAGGCATCTGCTTCTTACCATGCAAACTCATTGTTCTCTCATGAAAGCAACCCACAGAAGAGCTGGCTTTTTCTTTTCTACTACAATTATAAATGATCCCAACTTTTGATTTTTTTCCACAAAATTCCCGAGGCCTTTTTTCCATCCTTCCCTGCTTATCTCGTCCTCATTGTCCTGCAGTTTTCTTAGCTGGCAGTGGTACAATCTGCAGTTGTGACAAAACAATGGCTCATGATCCACTGACCCTGGAAGCTCATGCCCAATCAGATAGCAGGAAGACGGTATCCCCAAGCACAGAATCATATATATTCTGAATGAATGAGCTATCGGCATCAAGTTTTGACCAGTTTCACGATGCTACCACCAGATAATGGGAAAACCAAACACAGACACTGCAATCTATGTTATATAAGGAAGACTCCGTGCATCGGTCTACAAGAGTCAAGGGTTTCAGGTTGCATACAATAATCCAGAAGCTGTAACTACATCAGGAGTCCTACTCCTTACGGGTCTTTAGTTGCCCTGGCAGAAAGGAAGGCCTCCAAGAGGCTGCATTCCCCTTTTTAGGACCCCAGCACTGTTTAGGGTGCTAATGCCAACAACTGATAGCCCCTTTCTTGACTCCCTCCGAGGAGTGGGAATAAGAAAGTCCTCTATTATCACCCTCCACACAGTGCAAAGTCTCACTTATTAGTCGAGGCACCCCCAGGTAATCAGCATTTCCCTTATCCGCAGATCGGAAGAGGAAGCACAAGGTCCACATGATTCCACAAGGTCAACAAGCTATTGAAGGGAAGGGCCAGTGCCAGGTTCTGGCTCTGTACTTCACATTCTTTCCAGTAGGTCTGTGGGCAGCTGCGGCAAGGGTAGCCTGGCCACCTGGCTGATATTCACAGAGCTCATAGTCAGCTGTGGTGTGGGAAGTGGAGTGGGAGAGCTACGACCCAGCGGTGACCCAGCTTGCTCTGCTCTGGTCATGGCTGCTTCCAAGCAATGATGCCAGTGACAACAGATGTCACTGACAGCTGGGAAATGGGCCTCCTCTGGCAGAGAAATCTGGATACATGCACTAGCAGCTCTGCTCAGGACGGGACCCTGCTGGCATTCTCTTAGTTCAAGTGGGAGGACCAGTGGAAAAAATGTGAATGCAGCTTCCAGGTCATGATTTTAATTCAGATGTTTACTCAGAAAGCGTCTGACCAATTCCAGCAAGAACAAATCCCAAACCAGCCTTCAAAAGCCACCCTGAGTGATAAAGATAAGGTGCATGTCTTACCCTATATAAAAATGAGGTGGTCTTAATGTTCAATTGCACAAAACACATCATTAGGATTATAGTTTGGTGGCATGCACCCCATATTGGTCTTGTTTATAAACTACAACTGTGTAATGTGACATCCCTATTTTTCAATTGTACAACTGTTACTTGGTGAGATTTGGTTTTAACTACAATATTTTAAAAGCCAATTTCTACTTAAGTGTACATATTTTACATTTACAGCAGAATGATATGGGATCTGGTGTACCCCACTGGGTGGTGTTGCCTTCAAAGTGGTCACCTTTGGAAGATGGATGCTTATTTCAGGGAAGCTAACCTTACTTAGAATACGTCTAGAACCCTCTCTGGAAACTGGCAGCTTGGAAGCTTCCTTGATCTCAGCAAACATCTATACTTCTAAGGGTAGACCTATTTTTGAAAGTGATTTCTTTTTTTAAACAGCCAAAGAGTATTAGAAAATGAGTCTGATAAATAAAACGGGTGATGGAGCTTGGCACAATCTCAGCACTTAGTAGGGGGATAAACAAAGATGCCTGACTACAAAGTTGTGAGGTCTGTTTTCTTTTCATGGCTTAAAGGTAACCTCAAAGAGGAATTCTAAGTGGTCTTGGCACATGCAACCTCAGAGCTCAAGAGTATGGTCTCCCAAGGAAATAACTCCAATTACAGTAACTCTTGAATGCCTATGTTCTAGTGTATCTGGTTAAAAAGGTAGCTTTGCTCATATTCACTCAAATTTCACGTCAGTGGGAGGAGGAAACTCCAGCTCCATGATTGCTCCCAGGGAAAGGATGTTGTCCACTGCTTAGAGTTAAAATGAAAAGCACTTGGTGTGATGTCCACATTACCCACCCACACCTCCAGATACCTGAGTCTCCCCAGTTTGGGAAAATGTGTCAGGACAGATCTCTGGAGCCTGGATAAGGGTGGAATGTCAAGGGCATTGGAGTATTTTTCTAATGGCTCACTTTATGGAATAGACCCACACCACAAACTCACGCAAGTCAACCTTCTAACAGCTAAGCAGGACAAAGCTGCGGTAGAGGAGCAGGTTATCTTCCAGTAGCTTCTGTGGCAAAACCACACTAGCTTTTGGATGATAACTAAAAAAAAAGTCCCTTGAAAGGGCAGTCCACGGTCTTAGGTTCTAGTGCACGACTAAGTGCGTGTGCAGCCACTGGCTCAGTGCAGCGCGTTTCCGGCTTGACCAAAGGCAGCAAAGGTGCAAGAAACTGCTGGAGCTGGCATGAATTGAAGCAGGGATCTATCAGTTCAGAGTGGCAAAGCAATTTGTAGAAAGCCCCAGTCACAATGCAGCCTATTTTCCAATCAGTAAAGTCAAAGAATCTTCAATCTCTCTTTCTACAAAGTGCTTCAGTGAAGATGTTAAGGAGCAAGGTCCCTAAACCACCCTATTCTGAGTGAAGAAGAGATACAGTCAAGGTGGGGACTAATGGGAAGCAGATGCCAGCAGTGTTGGAACTGGGGATTCTCCAAGCATCACCTCCACGGTGGGTGGACACGTTCCTGTAATCCCACTCCACCTCCTTTGTATGAGACTCCAGCTCATGGCTGCTTGGAGTTCAGTGTTTCTAGTACTTCAAGTTCACACGCTTCGATGCTAACAGCCAAGACAGCAGCACAAGGGCAGTGCCTTCAAGTCAGCCACGGTGTCCAAGTGCTGGCAGTGGACATGGCTCTCCAGTTGATCAGGCAGGGGATGTTGCTCTCAGGCATGTTTTTCAGTAAGTCTTCAGAAAAATCACAAGCTAGGCCATACTCTTAGGTCATCGTTGAAAAGAATGCAGAGTGCCCAGGTGGGATGCCTAGTTTCTGTGCAAATGAAATCACATTAGTCCAAGTTTTATTCATTCAAAACTACGAGGGAAGCAGTAGGATTTTGGTTGAAATGCTGCCAAAAAAGCAATAACTCACTTGAGTGTTAATTCCGAAGCAATCCTGTTGTTAATGTTGTAGCCAGGCTCGGGCAGTGTGGGAGCTGGGGTGCTCATTGTGCTTGCTGAGGAATCCCGGATCTCTCCCAGTTCAGGCTCACTCTCGCTGGAGGTAGACCCGTTGGTGACGGTGTAGACGCCATCTGTGACTCCCTGAGCTGATGCACAACCATCTGGCTCCTTTTTCTCCCTGGGACTGGAGAGCCCCGGGAGGACAGCCATCTTCCCTGTCTGCCGATTTGGCAGCAGGGACATGGTATAGTCTGCAATGATTCCACCCACATCCAAGTTGCACGCCTGGTCGAAGGCCAGGAAGCCAACATTGGCGTTGGCTTCACACACCACGAAGGAGCCATCATCCATGATGAGGAGGTCGATGCCACAAAAGTCCATGCCCAGAATATTGGACACCTGAATGGCCAGCTGCTTGCCTTGCTCTGTCAGCGGGCACATGACACCCACGCCACCTGTAGGGAAAGCACAGTCACAGAGAGATGATGGTGGATACTGACTGAGGACTCAAATGAGCCTCTGAGAAGAAGCCATGGGACAGCAAGGAAGGCAGTGTGAGGGCTCTTCCAAAAGGACTGGGTGGAAGCAGGGCACCCTTTGGGAAGTCAGTATGGTTACTTCTTATCTAATCTTACATATGCTGATTTTCACTGACACAACCATGTCACCACCAAGAAAATAGTCCTACCAATTGGGGAGGGGGCAGGGAACCTTGTGCACAAAGATATTTGTGGCAAACTGTTGAGTGAAGAAATGAAAAATGAAAAATGAAAAACGAAAATCTGAAGCATATTTTACAAATAATAATGCCAGTTTGCAATCTCATGGGAAAATATAGAAGAGTTAACAACTGTACAATATGGTTATACCTTTGCATAAAAGGTATTTGTCAAACAAAAAAAAAAGGAAAGAATTATAATATTGCGGTACAGTAAGTTAAGTTTCCAGTTATGACATTGACATCCCACATCAGAGCACCTGTTTGAGTCCTGGCTGCTCTACTTCCTTTCTGGCTCCCTACTGATGTGCCTAGGAAAGTAGCAGAAAATGGCTTAAGTGTTTGGGCCCTGCCACCCATTTAAGAGACCTGATATAGTTCCAGGCTGTAGTTACAGAGAAACAGACAGAAAGGATCCTCCATCTACTGGTTCATTCCAAAATGGCTGCAATATCCATGGCTGGGCTAGGTCAAAAGCAGAGGCAAATTCCATCCAGGTATCTTACTGGTAGCAGGTACCCAAGTGCCTTCCCTGATACATTGGAAAGAATCTGGATCCGAAGTAGAGGACTGGGACATGGCACTCATACAGGATGCTGGCATTGTAGATGGCAGCTGAATTTGTGTTTCACTATATGAGCCCAAAAAAGAAATCTTAAAAAAATAAAAAAGGCCTGGCATGATAGCCTAGTGGTTAAAGTCCTCACCTTGGACGCACTGGGATCCCATATGGGTGCCGGTTCTAATCCCAGTGACCCTGCTTCCCATCCAGCTCCCTGTTTGTGGCCTGGGAAAGCAGTTGAGGATGGCCCAAAGCTTTGGGACCCTGTATCCATGTGGGAGACCCAGAAGAGGTTCCTGGCTCTTGGCTCCTGGCTTTGGATTGGCGCAGCACCGGCTGTTGCAGTCACTTGCGGAGTGAATCAACGGACAGAAGATTTTCCTCTCTGTCTCTCCTCCTCTCTGTATATCTGACTTTGCAATAAAAATAAATAAGTTTAAAATAAATAAATAAATACATCTTTTAAAAAAAAGACAGTAAAATTTTCATAGCAGTTGTTGCTAAGGATAGCTTTTTTTTTTTCATTTGCCTTTGCTTGTTTCCCAAAGTTCTACATTGAGAATGTATGCTTCTATGTTTAGAAAAAAAAATTACTTACTGTTTTAAGGAGAGTTGGAGTGGATTGTGCAGCAAAATCCTGTATTGAGGGCAAATGAAGTATGACTGCCCTGACTTATTAAAAGTTAGGGCCTCATATTTCATTTTTTCCATTTACTTCCCCTGGAAAGACTTGAGATCCGTGTTCCCAAGTTATCTTGTGTCTATCTTTGCACTGTCCATCTCTCACCCAAGATATTGCATAAAGGAAAGTTTATAACATAGCTCTAAGACAACTTGCCAAGAAAAGGAATAAACTGAGTGGTTACTAGTGAGAGAGTGGATTCTTAAAGGTAACTAAAAAAAAAGACTAACTGATAAATCACAAAGTTTAATATTGCAGTACTATAGGTGAGATCAAGAACGTGAAATAAGATAACTGGTAATGCACATAGCACAGTGCCAACTTGAGTCTAGCATTCAGGCCTTTACACAACGTCTTAAAATTACAAAAAACGTCCAGAAGACAAAAGTCTCCATTTTTATAAGTTTTAAAATTATTTGAGTGACAGAGAGAGGGAGCAGGATTGGGGCAGAAGGAGAGAGAGATAGAGAAAGAGAAAGAAAAGGAGAGAAAGAGAAAAAGAAAGAAAAAAATGGTTTTCTCTAACCAAGAAAAGACAGACAGAACAAGTCAATCAACCATCTCAGCTATGTTGGCAACGAAAAACTGGGCAAATGGAGACTCTATGATGGACTATGTCAATCAGTGGATTCTTCAAAGACTTCATCGTGCTTGGAATGGCAAGATTGGCAGCAACTCATAGCTGGTGAACTATCAAAACCACTTGAGCAAGTATCTCAGAGCATGCCCCACATCCGGGACCTGAGGTGGGTGGGAAACTAGGCGGGGCTTCTCCCTCAATATCCCCCTCTACCTCAGATACATGAAGGAAACAATACAGAAATAATAGTCTTAGGCCCGGTGTGATAGCGTAGTGGTTAAAGTCCTCACCTTACATGCCCAGGATCCCATATGGTCACTGGTTCTAATCCCGGCAGCCCTGCTTCCCATCCAACTCCCTGCTTGAGGCCTGGGAAGGCAGTCAAGGACAGCCCAAAGCCTTGGAACCCTGTACCCATGTGGGAGACCCAGAAGAAGCTCCTGGCTTCTGGCTTCGGATCGGTTCAGCTCCGGCTGTGTGATCACTTGGGGAGTGAATCAATGGACAGAAGATCTTCCTTTCTGTATATCTGCCTTTCAATAAAAAGAAATAAATCTTAAAAAAAAGGATGGGCCCGGAGGTGTGGTCTAGCGGCTAAAGTCCCCACCTTGAATGCACCAGGATCCCATACGGGCACCGGTTCTAATCCCGGCAGCTCTGCTTCCCATCCAGCTCCCTGCTTGTGGCTTGGGAAAGCAGTCGAGAATGGCCCAAAAGCTTTGGGACCCTGCACTTGCGTGGGATACCCGGAAGAAGCTCCTGGCTTCTGGCTTCGGATCGGCCGTTGCACTCACTTGGGGAGTGAATCATCGGTTGGAAGATCTTCCTCTCTGTCTCTCTTCCTTTCTGTATATCTGACTTTCCAATAAATAAATAAATCTTTAAAACAAAAAAGGAAATATTAGTCTTACCCACTTTCCTATAGCCCTTGAACCTTTTTACCCTAATTAACTATGTAAAGATTGTCAAAAATACAATAAAAAATTTTTTAAAATGTTTTTCTATCTGCTGCTTCACTCCCAAATTGCTGCAACTTCAATGCCTGGCCAGTTTAAAGCGGGAACCTGAAATTCCAGCTACGTCTCCCACATGGGCAACAAAGTCCCAAGCACTCGGGCCATCTCCACTGTCTTCCCAGATGTATTAGCAGAGAGCAGGACCAGAAGCAGAGCAGCTGGGACAGAAAGTACTGCTCTGATGCAGGATGCCAGCATCATAGACGGCGGCTAAAATGGCTACCTCATAACACTGGCCCTTAAGGACCACACGCTGCCCAAGGGCAAGGTCTTGCCCAATCTACACTCCTGGAGCTGCTCAATGAGTATGAATGAAAGGAGCATCCATCAGCGTTTAAGCTTCTTCATTGGTCACTGGACTTGGTATACTCATCTAGAGATTTAAGAAATAGGAACTCTAGGTATTTTTTTTCTCATATTACAAAGGTATAAATTCTTTCACTTAGATTGATAATGGCTCCCTTGTAAGAGGACAAAAATTTATCTCTCTCTTTTTTTAGGATTTATATCTCTCTTACAACATTTCTACAACAGAAAATTAGCTTTGGGCCCGGCACGATAGCGTAGTGGTTAAAGTCCTTGCCTTGGATACCCGGAATCCCATATGGTTGCCGGTTCTAATCCCGGCGACCCTGCTTCCCATCAAGCTCCCTGCCTGTGGCCTGGGAAAGCAGTCGAGGATGGCCCAAGGCCTTGGGACCCTGCACTTGCGTGGGAGACCTGGAGAAGAGGCTCCTGGCTTCGGATCAGCTCAGCTCCATCCATTGCAGTCACTTGGGGAGTAAACCATCAGACAGAAGATCTTCCTCTCTGTCTCTCCTCCTCTCTGTATATCTGACTTTGTAGTAAAAATAAATAAATCTTAAAAAAAAAAAGAAATCAGCTTTGTCAGCAGGTGAATAGGATGGGGCTAAGCATAAACTGCAAGCTTTCTAACATCATTCAAAAAAGCAAAACAAGGGGCGGGCTTGAAAGCTTTGTGGTTAAGCCAATCTCCTATGAGAGTACCTGGGTTCGAGTCCCAGCTTTGTTTCTAATTCCAACTTCTGGCTAATACGCACCCTGGTGGGCAGCAGGCAAACCGCTCAAGTTGTTGGGTCCCTGCTATCTAGATGGGAGCCCTCGTTTGAGTCAGCCCCGATCATTGTAGGAATTTGGGGAGTGAACCAGTGGATGGGAGCTCTTCCTGCCTTTCAAATTAAAAAAAAAATCCTTTAGTAAAATTTTCAAATAAAATGTGAATTCCTGTCTTAAACTTTCAATCTACCCTTTGTTATCTCAGAGATGAGTTTTTCTCAAATGTGTTCCTCATGGTGCTTCCTTGCTTAAACTGCCACATCCCAGCACCCACAGGATAGGCCATAACCTCAGAGCCCTGACCCCTGGTCTTTTTCATGCAGTTCTTGCCACCACGGGATACAACGTCTGATTGTGAGATTCTGGGGCTCAGCAGGGGGTCTGGTAAGATAGCAGGGATGAGTTATCATTTACGGATCAAGTCTGAAGAACTCATAGAAAATCCTGCTGCCCTCCATGAGCAACGGCCCCCTTATGCGCACTTCCCACCTTACCCAGGGAGCAGTTGCTCTGCATTCGCCCATCGGTGGAACAGCGAAGCATGGAGCCTATCACCTGGCCCCCGACCACGACCACGCGGATGTCTTTGCCGTGGGACTCCTTCACGTATTTCTGGAACAGGTAGGGAACGTCGTGGCGGATCAAGTGGCAGATGTCCGAGAGGTGATGTTTATCTCTTGCCAGAAAAACAGCTTTTCCTTTAAGAAGAAAGTCAGATAGCGAGGAGCAGTGGTTAGAGACGCCTCTGTTTTTGTCATTGCCCCATGGCCCCTTCCCACAGGTAGTGTCTCCCTCTGAACTTGCCTCCCATTGAGCCCTTCTGTTCCTCCACTTAGAGCCTTATTCTTCTCTCGATCCTCCTCACATCTGACCCTCTGCCCCGCTGACCTCTCCCCTCCAACACCACTTTTCCCCCAAATGAAATCAGAGACAGAGTCAAAATAAAATCCAAGGGATCAAATCAGCTCCGTACTAAAAGCAGTTAATTAGCGTCTCCTTGCACCTTGAGGTTGCTGATTAGGCAGGACCCACATCTAATTCATTTTCTTTTATCCTTCCAACCTCCCACTTGGCTTGATGCACAGGGCAGATGTCAGTCAGTGTTGATAGAACATAATTAATTGAGCATACTTTGGAGGAATCCCAAGTATGAATGGAGAAAAAAAAGCATGAATCAGAAAAGATAAGCAAAGGCAGAGTGACAGACTTTAAGACAAGTCTGAGCGAGATCCCACAGGGGCTCAGAGGGAGAAGCCACAGTCGTCCTTCTTTGGAATTTAAAAAATGTGCTGTTTGGCTATATTCATAATGGGTGATGACCTAGACTTTTATCGATCTCTGGGAAAAGTGCTCCTTCCAGACTCTAAATTCTTTCTCTATTTTTAGCAATTTATTTTTATTTGAGAGTCAGATTTAGAGAGAGAGAGAGAAGGAGAGTTTGAAATAGAGAGATCTTCCATCTGCTGGTTTACTCCCTAAATGGCCACAGTGGCCAGAGCTGAGCCGATCCAAAGTCAGAGTCAGAGCCCGAGCCAGGATCTTCTTCTGGGTCTCTTACGTGGGTGCAGGAGCCCATGGACTTGAGCTATTCTCTACTCATTTCTCAGGACACAGACAGGAAGCTGGATCAGAAGTGGAGCAGCAGGACTAGAACCAGCACCCATATGGGATGCCAGCACTGCAGGCAGAAGATTCGCTTCTAAGCCACTGCACCTGTCCCTTAAATTCTCTCCTCTGCCTGAAGCACATAAGCGTCAGAGATCATTGTGCATCTCCTTTCTATCTGCATGTTTACTGAGTGGAGGTTTGGAGAGGCTTGATCTGCACATACGACAAAAGTATGCCCATCTGGAACAAAGAGGCGGTCTCCCTTAGTTTTGTGTCACCATCACATCAGGAGTGGAACTCTTTTGAAGTCTCAAGTGGGGGAAAGAACATATCACAACCAGGACTGTCATTGCCATTCCTGACATGCCTGACCCACGGATGTCCATCAGAACCGGCGGTCAGTTGTGTGGAGCCATTCAGGTGGCCAGTGAGGGGAGAGCGTGCAGTCAGGTGGCAGTCCCTGGCAGGTACATTGGAGCAGGCCTGTAAGTGGGTCCACAAGGAATCCTCAGAGGCTCCGCAGGACCATTCCACCTCAATGACTGAGCGGAAGTGTGAGCAGTTAGACACTTGGTGCGAGGAGATCTGGTATCTGGCAACAGTCGAGGCGCTGGGATTCTCTGCAAAACTAGGTAGGATTTTCAGCAGAGGGAGGGGTTAGGTACTGGTTCCTGCCACAAAGGTTCCAACTTAGGGCTCAGGCTACAGCTAACAAAGGAGCTACAGTTTTGAGACAAGAAAGAAAAGGAGGGATGAAATGCTAGATTAATTTTCTATTATGTGGCAAGCATTTTCAAAATTATTATTTCATTTACATTTCGCACTAACCCTGCGAAGTGATCACAACAAGTACATTTGTTGCTGGTTTACAGGAGAGAGAGAGAGAGAGAGAGAGAGAGAGAGAGAGAGAGAAAGGTCCACAGGGTAACTTTCTCAAGGATACAACCTGTGCACTCATTGTCTTTTTAGATTTATTTTCAAATGCTATCAGTCCTCTATATCCAAATGTCCCACAATCAAGGATTCAATTAACTGTGGATATAAGATAATTTACAAAAAAAACTATGTCTGGAGGTTGGTGCTGTGGTGTAGTAAGTAAAGCTATTGCCTGTGCTGCCTGTATCCCATCTGAGCACTGGCTTTCCGTCTGGCTGCTAATATGCCTGGAAAAGTAATGGAGGATGGTCCAAGGCCTTGGGCCCCTGTACCCACGTGGGAGACCCAGAAGAAGCTCCCGGCTTTGGACCTGCCCAGCTCCAGTCATTTCAACCATTTGAGGAGTGAATCAGAGGATGAAGATATTGTTCTTTTTTCAAATAAATGACTTTTTAAATTAAAATTTTGCCTATACCAAACATGTACAAACTTTTTTGTCATTATTCTCTAAACTTTATAGTAATAACAACCATTTACAAAACATTTGCATTGCATTAGATATTGTAAGTAATCTAGAGATGACATAAAGTATGTGGGAATATATGCATAGAATAGGCAAACGTTTCATCTTCTAAAGGGGCTTGTGCAGCTACAGCTGTGGTGCCTGTGGAGGGTACTGGAACCAGTTCCCCACAACTAGAGAAGGACAACCATTGTTATGTCACATCACTGTCCATTTTTTACATCCATTCTATTTTGTCTGTGCAAACAATGTGTTAACTAGCAATGAATAATCTGAAAGTGAATTAAGCATGCAATTCCATTATCAACAGTATGAAAAGGAATAAAATATTTAGGAATACATTTAATCAAGGAAGTATAAGACTGAGACACTAGTAATCATAAAGACTGAAAGAAATTTAAGACCTAAACAAATGGAAACCCGTCCCATGAACATGAACCATTAAGTTCGCAATACTGCTCAAATTGCTCAATAGATTCAATGCAATTTGTACCAAAACTTCAACTTCTTTTGGGTAGAAATTGACAGACAAATCCTACTATTCTTACAGAAATGTAAAGAAAAAAAAACTATCCAAAACAACCTTGAAAAACACGGACAAAGTTAGAAGTTCAGACTATCAAATTTCAAATTTTACTACAGTTATAATATCAAGACAGTATGACCTGCCATAAAATGGACATAAGTATATCAACAGATTAGAATTGAAAGAAATAAGCTTTCACAATATGGTCGTTAGAATTTTGGTAAGAGTTACAAAAACATCCAACAGGGAAGGAACAATCTCTTCCACAAATGAACTGAAAAACCTGGACATGTACAAAGGGGAGTCTCTCCCTGATGCCATATACAAAAATTCACTCAGCATGGATCAAAAACTAGAAAACTATTAAAACTCTCAGGTTGAAATACAGTTATAAATCTATAAATGTGGATTAGGGCAAGCACAAAATGACATCAAAAACAGGTGAAAACCAAAGGGCTAAATAGACAAACAGGACCTCTGAATGGTGTCCAATTCAAAGTCTACTCTTTTGAGTCTTCTTTCAGGTTGGCACAATGGCTCAGCTGGCTAATCCTCCTCCTGCAAGCGCCACATCCCATTTGGGCGCTGGTTCGTGTCCTGGCTGCTCCACATCCCATCCAGCTCCCTGCTTACAGGCTGGGAAAGCAGTACAGGATAGTCCAAAGTCATGGGAGCCTACACTCATGTGGGAGAACCAAAAGAAGCTCCTGGCTGTACATCAGCTCAGCTCCAGGCATCGTGGCCATCTATGGAGTACATTAGTGGATGGAAAATCTTTCTCTCTGTGTTTTTTTCCTTCTCTGTAAATCTGCCTTTCACCAATAAAAAGAAATACATCTTGAAAAGTACAAACTTATGTCTCCTTTTCCTCCACTGAACCCTTCATGTCAGTGTTGGTCTCTCTCTCCTCCAAGCTCAAACAGACCTGACCTTGGTTGTGACTGTTATGGAGATCATCACCTGCTTGTCTTGTCTACACATTTGAGCCGCTTGACAGTACTGGTCTATTTCTGCACCATAATCACTGTGTGGCAGCAATTGCTTCTTGCATTCCTGTTGTGGGTTACCTTCCCTTTGCTCCAGAAGTCCTGTGCAGTTCAGGATGTCATCTGTGTATCCTAATGAGTACTCCCTCATAGCCTGCAGGGGGACTGCTTCCCACGGCTTCTGTCCCAGCTGAGTCCCTACTCTGCACTGAGTACCACAAGCGGGCCCTAAAGAAACTGGGAAATTCAGGGTCTGGTCTCCATCTGAGAGGCCTGCATTTTACTAAAGGGAACAGGATCACAAATCCAAAGCTAGCATTGTCTAAAGGGCTGTAAGGTGCTACAGAAACAAAGAAAGGAAGCACAAGGAACTCTGCTTGGGAGAGAGGAAGGCTGGACAGGGATATGGACAGAAAAGAAATAACATCTGGGTAGACATGTGTATAAAAAAGAAACAACCTTGAAGGTTGTGCAGGTCACTGGGGATGAACGGAAGACAGCATTGCCAGCAGAGGGAGGGGAATCTGGCCTGGTTTCTGTAGTTAAGGAGCAGTGGGCTGGAAGGAGTTAGGGGGCGGTTTGTGTGGTCAAGAGGGGCCGCAAAGGCAGGATGAACCTGCTTGCACAGGGCCTTTCCTGTTACAAGTGGAGATAAGGGTCTTGTCTAACAAGCAGCATAGGGGTTTGGGAGGGCTATTAGTGGGGAGGTAACAATACTATATGTAGTTTCTAGAAATTAATGCAGAAAAAAAAAAGAACAACAGGGGATTCCTGGCAGTGGAAACCAAGCAGTCAGGTGAAAATTGAGTTCTTACTTCTTTCAAAGTAAGAACTGCAGGGAAGAAAGGGAAGAGAAGGAGAACTACTTCGCAAGATCCTCTAGGGGGAGCTCCATTTCCCCAGCAGTCCTCGGGCCACATTGGTGAGTGACCTGCTAGAGGGGAGAGCTGCTGCCCTCACAGGCGCATTACCCAGGAAGCCCAGAAGGAGTGGCACTGACCCCGGTGGCCTCGCGTGCTCTTCACCACAACCGGATAGCCCAGGGGTTCGGCTTCATCAATCATTTTGGAAAAGTCTTCATGCCCACCTGCCAAGAAAAGGTGAAAGTCAGTGAAGATAAGGCTGCTGGCACAGGGACTCCCAGTCTCCTTTCTCAGATGAAAACAATTCAGACTGCCCCATGCCCAGCAGACAGGCATCACACAGCTGCAACGTAAAAGGTGGGAGCAGAGATAGGGAAGCCAACATTTACAAAGCGCCTTCTACCAGGTACTTCACATGCTCCAGTTCACACCGTCTTCATAACAATCGCAGTTTATCTTGACCATGGCTGTGGTGAACAGAAGTCTCAGTCCCTGGATTCTTGCCCTCTGGTGAATGTGTCTTGTATAATCCCTCCTTTTTGAGTGGGGAGAGGCTGTCAGACCTATGATTAAGTTAAATGTCAGTTGACTGGGTAGACAGTCACCACTTGGGACACCTACATCCATAATAGAGCGCCTACAGTGGGGTCTAGCCTCTGCTTCTGGTCCTGGCAAGTACGCAGGTGCCTGCCTCACACATGAAAAACCCAGGTGGAGCCTGGCACAATAGTCTAGTGGATAAATTCTTGCCTTGCATACGTCGGGATTCCATATAGCCACTGGTTCTAATCCCAGTGGCCCCACTTCCCTTCCAACTCCCTGCCTGTGGCCTGGGAAAACAGTCCAGGATGGCCCAAAGCCTTGGGACCCTGCACCCACATGGGAGACCTGAAAGAGGTTCCTGGCTCCTGGCTTCGGATCAGCACAGCTCTGGCCATTGCAGCTACTTGGGAAGTAAATCATCAGATATAAGATCTTCTCTGTCTCTCCTCCTCTCTGTATATCTGACTTTACAATAAAAATAAATTAATCTTTTAAAAAAGAAATAAAGAAAAAGAGAGAGAGACCTAGATGAATTTTTTTTTGACTCTTGGTTTTGCCCTGACCCAACTTTGGCTGTTGTCAAGATTTTTGGAGGAGGAGTGAACCAGTGATGGAAGAGCTCTGTCTCTTTTTATTCCTTCCACCTCCCTCTCCTCCCCTTTTTCTCCGTCCCCGTCATTGTATCTTTCAAGGAAAATTTTTAAAAGCTTAAAAAAGCAATCATAAATTCAGTTTGAGTTTGGTGGGTCTAACCTAGTCAGGTGAGTCCAATTACCTTCAAAGGTGGAGTGTGAGGGAGACTTTTCTACCATTACAAGATCTGGAAGGAGTTCAACTTCTGCAATGGAGAGGGCCACAGGGCGGGCAGCCTGCAGGGGTTGAGAATGGCCCTGGGGCAGTAGTCAACCAGAAGGTTGGGATCTCAGGGCTACAATGCAACCAGTCCACTTGGAAGAGATCTCAGATGAGATCTCAGGTGCAGCTGACCCTTTGGCCCTGGGCAGAAAACCCAGGGATGGTGTGGCTGGAAACTGAGCGGTAACCAATGATGTAGAGTGGCTGAGTGTTCAGTGGTTTGTGGTGCAGCAATAGGATACCGATATCCCAGAGAACAAGCCTGGGGGGTTTTCTCACCAAAGTTAAGGTCTGAGTCTAAACTCAGAACTGACCCAATTATATCCCTTTAAGTGTATTAAGTTATCAATATGAATGACAATGTGCATGGAAGTCTTTCTGTTTTACAAATGTTCTTGATTTCCTATACTATGTGGAATATAACCTTTCTTGGTAATTAGAGTCAATGCAAATATTAATGACTGCACTATAATGCTCTTACAGAGTGCATTTGGCTGCTGTTTAATGGCACCAGACTAATGCACTTGCTGGTCCTTGAACCTGGTTTTTATGGGTGTACCATCCTTGCTCTGGGGATGCTGGCTGGAACTTCTCCCTAGCTGGGCCTCTCAGTCTGAAGGGTAGTCCAATGCAGCAAGTAAATGTGGCTTGGTACTTGTTAGAATTTGGGACACATATTCAGGTTGCTAAGGGGTCTTTTTGATTTACTTTCGAGTCTCAAAAACATGCTGGAGAGATAAGGATTGATTTGTGGGTCCAGCAGTGCATTAATTTTCTCTTGCCACTGTAATAAATTCCCAACCATATGGAAGCATCAATAACAAATCTATTGTCTTTCACCATAATTATTAGTTTGAAATGTGTTTCCTTGGGCTAAAATTAAAGTTTCTGGGCTATATTCTTATCTGGAAGCTCTCCTCCAGATTTTAGAGGTCGCCCACACCCCTAATTGGTGGAAATGGGTCAGGGTAAAGCCAAGAAGCAAGCAACTCTACCTAGGTCTCCCATGTTTGGGGACAAGGATCCAACTAGGACTCTGCCTTCCAGGGTGCACATTAGTAGGAAGTTGGACTGGAGAGTAGAGCCAAGACTCAAATCCATAGCATCTTAGCTGCTATGCCAAGTGCCCATTCCAGAGTGACCTAAATTACAGCTGTAAGGCCGACTCCTTGACTACAGACTTCTGACAACTTCCAATTGGGCTCAGGACTAATGTTCATTTTCACAGGCTAGAAAAGGACCCCACTTATCTAGCTAGCTAATATCTCAATTCTACACTTCTTAATATTCTACAAACTGCTCACAATACCACCAATAAATTATCTTCTCTCTTATGCCCAGATCTTATCTTTTACTTAAGATTTATTTATGTAAAAAGCAGAGTGACACAGAGAAAAAGAGACAGAGGGAGGGATCTTCTATTCATTGGTCTACTACTCAAATGGCCACAAAAGCCAGAGCTGAGCCAGGCAGAAATCAGGAACCCCCTCCTGGTCTCCCATATGGGTGGTAGGAACCCAAGCACTTGGGTATGTTCCACTACCTTCCCAGATACCTTAAGCATGGGACCAATCAGGAGTCAAGCTGCCAGGACTTGAACCCACACTCCAGTGTGGGGTGCTGTGGTTGCAGGTGGCAGCTTAACCTGTGCACCACAGTGCTGACTCCTGGGTCTTTTCTGTGATTTGCTCTCTTTAGATTATTCCCTCTTCCTCTTTTCTTTCACTGGATAACTTCATCTTATTTAGATGTTCTCTTCTAAGAAACCTTCCTTCATGTCTTATAAACATCATTCGAGGCATTTCTGCTCATGAACTTTTGTACCATCCTGTACTCACTCCTGTAGAATACTTACACACTGCCCCGAGATTGCGAGATTGCATGTTCACTAGTTGTCTTCTACCACTGGCAAGGTGAAAAAGCTTGGAGGGCGGGACCTTAGGCAGTTAGTGGGTTAGGGCTAGCTCTGTATTTAATAAACAATTCACAGAGGTAAAAGTTCAAAGGCATTTCAAAGGGACAGGCTCACATGAAAAAGTGACAAAGGGTTGCACATTTGGTCTAGTGGTTAAGACACAGTTGGTTCCTCATCAAAGTACCTGGGAATTGATGCCCCAGCTCTGGTTTCAGTTCCTTGCATTGGGTTTGGGGAAACAGTGTGCTGATGGTTTAATTAATTGGATTCCTGCCACCTATGTGGGAGAACTAGATAAGTTCTGGCCCTGGCTGCAGCCTCCAACCATTGCAAACATTTGGAGAGAAAACTAGCAGATGGAACTGTGTTCACTCATCTCTCTCTCTTTCTCTCTCTCTCTCTTTTTCTCTCAAAGAAAAAAAATTTAAGAGAGGAGTCACTGTTGTGGTGTAACAGGTTAAGCTGTTGCCTGCAATGCAGGCACCCAATATCGGTGCTGGCTCAAGTCCGGCTGTTTTACTTCAGAGCCAGGTCCCTGCTAAGGTGCCTGGGAAAGCAGAAGAGAATGGCCCAAGTATTTGGTCCCTGGAACTCATATAGGAGACCTGGAAGAAACTCCTGGCTCCTAGCCTCTGGCTTTGACCTGGCCCAGTCGTGGCCATTGCTGTCATTTGGGGAGTGAATCAGCAGATGAAAGATCTGTTTTTAACCCCTTCTCTCTATAACTCTGCCTTTCAAATAAAATAATAAATATTTTAAAACAAACAAAAAAGAAAACAAGAGATACCAGAAGGTTTCTGGGGAGAGAAATCATAAGGATTCAGGTGGTTTTGAAAGCCGAGTTCCAATCCTATTTTGAGGAGACTCACCGTAGGAGAAAGTATCTGGCATGGGGACCCCATGTCCAGCCAACTCCTGGAAGGTCCAGAATTTGTTGATGCAGTTTAAGATGCTCTGCGGACGGTTGACCAAGCGGCAGCCGAGCTTCTCCAGGTGCCTCAGCACAGTGATGTCACTGTCTGACTGTACCGAGGGAGTGGGCACGCGCACGAGCACCACATCTGGGAAGGTGGTGAGAGCCTTCTGGTTCAGCTGGAGTCCTGTGGTCCAAGGACAAACATGAGCTCTGTGCTTGCCTTTGCTCATCCTCCGGAAGACTGAACTGAGTCAGAACAGAGCCTCCCCAGGGCCACCTGGATGTCCTGATGCTACAAGGAAATCCTACAGCCAGGCCTAAACTCCAAACGCATGGGCAGACCACTGTCATGATGAGGCACAAAGGAATGAACGGAAGAAACAAAAGCAGCTCACCCAGAGCAGTGCAAGTTAGAACAGTTCTCAGTAGATGTGTACTTACACATTGCTTCTTTATGGGACTCATATTCCTCAAAGTGTGATGGCTCAGGAGGCTGATGACTTCACAAAAAGGCAATACTGTAACACTTCAGGAGCCCCTACCACTCTCTCATGACTTGACCTCAGAAAGTCTATCCTACTGGAACAATGCATAGCTATTTAAATGACTTTTAGGAGTACCACAAATGCATAAATGCTCTTATTAGGTGGAAAAAACAAGGTACACAATTATAAGCCATGTATTATATGTAAACAGATACAACTTGGAAAAGGTCAGAGGAAATGCATCCACATTTCAACAGTAGATAATGGGATAGTAGGAAATGTTACTTATACTTACTTAGTAAGTATAAGTATTATTTTATACTTATCTGCATTTTCCAAAATTTTTCCAAATGTACATTACCTTTATAACAAAAAAATTCCCTTATCACCAGTCTACTAAAAAAGTCAGTTCAATATTAAACAAAACCAGAAAGCACCCACAGGCAACTGAAACACGCAGTGACAAGACCCAAGATCCTACTGTACTGGGTTGAGTAGGTCTATTGAGCTTGAAGTGAGGACTCAGAAGCACATGAGCACAGTCTCTTCAATTACCAAAGGCTTCTTTGCAGGAGTATGATCAGACTTGTCTCCTATGAGCCCAAAAGGCAGGACAACATTATCTGTGTCTAAACCAGAGCAGGGTGCATAACAGGTGCTCAGTATTTCTTGAACAGAAACTACAGGGAAACAGACTCAACAACAGGGATACTTTCCCACTTCCTTAGGGTAGAACGAGCTGACTCACTGGTCACAGGAGGATGATGTTGAGGGAAGGCAAGGATCAGAGAGGCTCCCTACAACCTGAAAGCTCCCTTTCAGACTTGAAGCTTACAATGTCTGTGACTCTAAGTAGTCACAGGCTTCCTCCATGAATCCAACTGGAGACAGGAAATGGGATGGGTAGGGCAATGAGAAAGGAGCTCAAGAGAGTCCCTGGTCTGCCTTAGTGAGTCTCCAATGCACTCTAAAGAAAATCTTTTAGACATTCTTTACATAACCCCTTCATAGGCTTTAACCTAAAGCACTTTGTTTCCTAAGTGATTTCACACTGTACACTGTATAATTCCAATAAGACAAAGGGTGCCAATGAAGTTATAATCTCTTCATCAGGGATTGGAAAAACCAATACAAATGCTCAGAGCTGATAAGAAAGGAAGGCATAAAAGCTCTAAGCACAAAAATAAACAATAACAACAACAACAACACAAAAGCACTCTTCTAGCTCTGACTTGCACATTTCCCCCCATTCTGGAAGTTACACTGTTTTAGCACTTCTGATAATGCTAACCCAAGCAATGATTTATAAAGAGCATCCAGGTTAGATAACCACTTTCTCACCAGAAACAATCGCTTATATCCACACTTTTGCTATTCTTTGAAAAATTCCTTTACCTCTTGCAGCCCTGGGGGAAAATAATAATAATAAAAAAAGAGGAGGCAGAGAGTGGAAACCCTTTGTGATATACACAAGATTGGTAGCAGGATTCAAGTAGGTGAAGATGATTAGAAAATACACAACACCCAGGACAGCACTGCATGGTGAGAGAATAGATGCAAAAATGCTTTGAACGCTAGAAAATGCTTTACATATGCAAGCCACTGGCATCATTATCACACAGATGTTCTACTAAGCAGGGTAGGACAATTTATGGCACCACCAGATGAGAAAAATGGCTTTGCAACAGAAAAGTGACCTAGAGAAATGAAAAGCAGCCAAAATGTCTAATCTTCAATTTCCGACATGAGACCACAGACAGACACACTTCTAAATGAGAAGAAGTTCATCATTTCTGGAAATACCAACCACAAGTGCATGGAGACAGCTCAGCCTCAACAAGCAGAGTCACACACACCTAGGAAGTCTTACCAGGACTTCATCTCTCTTCTCCAAAGGGAACTCTTTGGGCCTGGCTCATCCCAACTGAAGCCTTTAATAAATGAAGAATGGCATGGGTTAAAGTGTAGCTGCACAGGCTCTCACAGGCAGTTAGGTCTGACGACTGACTCGTGTTGGGTGGCCAGCCCTGTGAAGAGGGTTTGGGAACACACCTGCAAAGCTAGTTTTGGTCAGCCCTCCAGATCTGCAGGTTCCACATCTGTGGATTCAACCAAAAGTTCAGAAAAAAAAAAATTGTACTCTGTATTGAACATGCACAGGCACTTTTTTCCCCATTATTTCCCAAACAAAACCATATAACAACCATTTGCATAGTATTTACATTGTATTAGGTATAGACCATCTAGAGATATTGGAAGTATAGAGGGGGACAGGTGTCAGTGATATGCTATTCCTGCACCACTAAAAGGACTTGCATACCCACAAGGTGTCTTGAAACCAGTCCTTACTGGACACAAAGGGTCGACTGCATATCTTCATCATTGGCACAGCTCTGTCATTCTTGCTGTGGGCAACCTCACTTCCCCCTGCTCTTTTCCCATGGCCTTCATCGATGTATTTTTAGAAGCAGTGCCTACTCATGGTGACTTCAATGGAGGTATAAGGGGAGGCAGCAGGTGCACACAGCCATGCCCCAAAATAACTTGAATTCAAGACTGACCTTGGCAAATCTGTCTGTGAAGTTAAAGACCTCGAGCCACTGGGTAATGTATGCTGCCTGTCCCCATTACCATCTCCTCTCAGGAAAGGGCCTGATGAACTTAGAGCTTAATGTGACACCTCTCTCAGGGTCAGCATCCCACTATAATCTGCAGGCCTCATGTGAGTGATTGAAGGACTGTAGGGTTCAGCTGTCACTGGCGAAAGGGAAGCCCATGAGCAACAGTGAGAGGTTCTCACCCTTAACTAACAGGGAGCCTCAGGTGATTAAATGCCCTTAACTTTGGCCATCACCTTACAAGTGGGAAGCTGGAGTACCTATGGGATATTTAGGGATCCCAGGTTTCTGCATTCAGCAGAAGATATCATGTTTAGCCTCAAACCACTTACAAAGAAAAGTAAAATGGTTATTCTTCCCCCTAAATAAGTCAATATGATAGTAGAAAAAAAATCAGACTAGACACTGGTAGTACACTGACCTGCAGCCAACCTAGTCTAAATTAACTTTTTTGAAACCAAAACAAGTGTTTTATCTACATTACTTCTAAAAAGAACCATCTACTTTCATGGGTAATTCCATTCTGATTCTCTTTCTTAACTTCCTGTTTGTTTGGAAATATCTCAATGAGATAAAACCAGGAAAACTTTTCCTAAGGAATTGAATCTTTTTTTTCTAAGTCACACTTTAGCTAAATTCTATAAAACTAGATTTTTGCACTTAAACTGCGATAACCAAGAAATGCTAATCAAGAAAACTAACATTAGAAATAGTCAAATCCTTACTGCAAAGCAGAACTCCGAAACCACTTTCAATCATTCCTACACCTGGAGGGAGTACAGGCATAGATCACAAAAGGTGCTGTGATTCCGACTGATGTTTGGCTAATATTTTGAGTGAGCATCTGTTTTGTTCTGAGGATTTTTCTGAGAAAATTTTCACATGTATTATTTCAATTAAAGGTATCTTACAGGGCATGGTGTGGTAGCCTAGTGGCTAAAGTCCTCGCCTTGCATGCACCGGGATCCCATATGGGCCAGTTCATGTCCTGGTGGCCCTGTTTCCCATCCAGCTCCCTGCTTGTGGCCTGGGAAAACAGTCAAGGGTGTCCCAAAGCTTTGGGATCCTGCACCTGTGTGAGAGAGCCAGAAGAGGCTCCTGGATGCTGGCTGCAGATCAGCATAGCTCTGGCTGTTGTGGTTGCTTGGGGAGTGAATCAATGGGCGGAAGATCTTCCTCTCTGTATATTTGACTTTCCAATAAAAAATAAATCTTTTTAAAAAAGATATCTTACAGATCCTTGAAAAGATTTGATTGTTCATGTCTTTGCATGTACATAAAGCTAACACATACTGGATCACCACCACCCAACCTGTGCAGACACTCTCATGTGTGCGTATACACACACCCCTGGCTTTGCAAAGGAAAGCTTCTGGTTTCTAGCCAAATCTGCCATGTATAAAGCAACAGGCTGAAATCAGGAAAAAGGCAGGACCCCTGGTGCATGATAGTAAGCAAAAACCTGCTGCCAGCACCTTTTCAAAACACCTACTTGGGATTATATTCACAGCGGCTGATAGGATGGCTCTGGAAGTGGCCAAAAAGCAATTAATTACGGAGCGTACTTAAAAAAGTTTGTGGGCAAAGGCATGAAAAAATACATTTATTTTGATGTAAAAAAATGTTGAAATCCCATCTTTCTGTCTATCTCTGTAAATTCACCTTTCCAATAATAAATCAATTTTTTTAATTAAAAAAAAAAAGAAAAGAAAAAAGTCCAGCACATTGGCTCAACTGCTAATCCTTCTCCTACATGCACCACATCCCCTATGGGCACTCGTTCATGTGCCAGCTGCTCCACTTCACATCCAGCTTCCTGCTTACGGCTTGGGAAAGCAATAGAGCATGGCTCAAAGCCTTGGGACCCTAAACACCCATGTGGGAGACCCAGAGGAGGCCCCTGGCTCCTGGCTTTGGGTTGATTCAGCTCCAGCTGTTGCGGACATTTGGGGAGTAAACCAGCAGATGCAGAATCTTTTTTGTCTCTCCTCTCTGTAAATCTGCCTTTCCAAACAAACAAAAAAAAAAATCTTAAATTTTTTTTTTTAAATTGAAATTCATGCCCATTGGGGCTCTTCAAA